AGGTTTGTCATCCTAGGGACACAATATAAAACAAATTTTCACCTCTTCTTTTGGTGAGGTGTGAAGCCATATTTGCAGTAACTTAATCTTCCTGACAACATTTCACTTTCCAGATAGTTCTGTTAGCATGACATAATAGACACAGCGTGCATGTGAAGGTTCTGGAATAATGTGTTCTGCCACCAGATGGTGTTTTTGAAAACACAGACCACTTAGGTTTAAGGGATTTTTCGTACTCAGTATTTAGAATGAGGTAGCAAAAGCAGTTTACCCAAAAGCAATTATACTTGCTGAAAGTTACTAAAGTAAGTATTATATTTAATTAATTTTAGACTCTCTTAAGGGACCTAATCATTTTGTATGGTAGTGTCTTATTTTTTTAGGCATTGAAGAGAGTGTGTGATATTTGTGAATGACAAGGGGTTTTAAGTTTAGTCTTACATGCCTGTGTCCTGTTGACTCTATTGTAACTTTCTTGTTGCTAGCTTTATTAATTTTTGATAATTGTAATTATTTCCATTCATGCTTCTCATTAGGCAATTTTTTTGGTCTTTCTTTTGGGTCATCTCTGATCTCTGGTATTGCCCTAGTGTTGGAAACAGACTTTGTGATGCTTGTATGATCCGGTTTCTAACCAGGAGAGTTATTGTGACTGTGTAAATAGTAATATTTGTATTAGTATTATTTGTAGATGTTACTTGAAAAATAGTGATGAGCATTTACATTCTGATAACATACTTGCACTGTGATTAATTTAATCTTTCTATTATCAGCTTGCAGATACATTTCACTTTCAGGAAACAGTCTATAGCCATCACATGTCTCCAATTGCTACAAAGCATTGTTTAATAGCAGGTACATATCTCTTTTGAAGAAATGTCTTATACGTTTTGGGTTTATAGTAACAAACAAGTAATATTCAGTAGGACTTTTCCCCTACCATGTCTTATTTTTACATAAACTGAGTCTTCATAAGACCTAAGTTTCTTGGTAAAATAAAACACTATCCATTAGTTGAATGATGCCAATGAGAATATAATATTTGTTCTTCTGAAATAATGCGTCAGTCAATTCTCCTTCCTGAAAAAAAAATTCCTAGCTATTATTAGAATTACCTTTCATTGCATAAGTTAGCATTGGAAGGTTATTAGATCCAAACAAAGTAAATTGTGTAAATAGATGTGTGTGTATTGCTTACATTTACACAATTCAGCTATGTTTAGCAAAAAAATATTTGAAGAGATATTTTAAGTTTCCTAAGTACTGTCCTGTTTACCTCTAGTTTCTAAATTTTGTTTCTTACGTGGCAAATTCACTTATACTAAAAATGTAAATCTATTCATAGAATGCATTGCTCTGACTGAATGAACTGTTATGCAGCTAGGATTTTCCTTCTGCTTCTTTGTCATTGCTAAGATTCTTCTGTTGTTGTTCTCTCAAATGCTGTGGGTTTTTTTAGCTGTCTTTGTTTCTCTTGTTACAGTTGGTACCAAAAGCCCCAAAGTACAGCTCTGTGACTTGAAGTCTGGATCCAGTTCTCACATTCTGCAGGGTACTTCTTACTCTGAAACATAAATGTTAAACAATAACTACTTTGAGTAAAAACAAGTCCTGTAAAGAAACACTGCGGACAATGTATTCTTTGTCAGTAAGATGACTGATTTATTTGTAGCCAGTCGTGAAAGTTACACAGTGGCAAAAGGTTCTTCTGGGTGTTATTCTAGTGCTAATGAATTGGAGGATACAAATACTAATCAATAAGCAATTAATACAGATGTTTGGGCGTTTTCATGATCTAATCAATAGTGATTACTGTTTAGTAAATGGTTAAGTGTAGGTGTTGGTTTTGGGGGTTATGGGATGCTGTTTAAAAGAAACCAAAAAAGCCAAAATAAAATAACCAACCCCATTCCTCCCCCACCCCAAAAAAACCCCCAAAACACCTCAACCAGACGACAAAAAGACCTCACCAAACTGCATCAAAACAAAAAAACGTGTTTTTAACAAAATACCCTGTGGAAGTGTTCAAACAGATTTGATTAGAAGTTTGTGTAGAATGAGCAAGATACTACTTTGCTATAGAAGGATGATATCTAATATTTGTATGTTCCTAATTGAGTGAATATAGGGTTTTATTATTCCATAATCCATGACTTCTGGCACTTAGTGAGAACCAGCCTTTAGTGTCTCTTTTCTAAGTTGTACTTTCTGGAGTGTCTGTGTGTATACACATGCTCAAGCGAAGGCACTTATGAGGTATATCTTCATGCTCCAAACCAGCTGGGTAAGAGCCTGATCTGATCTGGAAACTGCAGGGAAATGTAAGCTCAGACACAGCAATGTGCAAATGCAGCTTTAATTCTTCACTAGCCAGCTCAAGTGTAAAAGCAGCCTAGGTGCTTTTGTGTGGTGCAGAGCTAAAGCCATTGAGTCCTTATGAACTGAATTGGCTACAACAGGCATCTCATGTTCTCTTCGTAGAACTGAGAGCACCAGAGAGTGCAATGAAACAGTTCTCTAGTGATTCAGGTTGGTTTCATCAGGGCTTCTTAATTTTAGCACAAGAGTTAGTGCTTACCAGGCACAAGCTCTGGGTCTATGTACACAGCCTGGTACAGTTAGCAATACTGGAGGAGAAAGTGGAAGGAGAATATGTCCTCCACTTAGCACAATCTAATAATTCTTTACAGGACTTGAAGCAGTCAGTTGTGTCTTGAAGATAAGTGTGAATATTTTCACATAGCCTAACTCTAGTGGCTGAAATGGACCTACATGCATAGCTGTAGTTTAGTTAATGGATACAAATAAATGCATTGATGGAATTTTATTAGGAAAAATCAGGATTTTTAACTAATTTCCAATCTAAACCTCCCCTGGTGCAACTTGAGGCCACTTGCTTGCATCTTGTTGCATGTTACTTGGGAGACTGTTGCCCCACCTGACTACAACCTCCTTTCAGGGAGTTGTAGAGAGTAATAAGGTCTCCCCTGAGCCTCCTCTTTTCCAGGCTAAACAACCCCAGCTCCCTCAGCAGCTCCTCACAGGACCTGTGCTCGAGTCCCTTCACCAGTTCTGTTGATATCTTAGTATTTCAGACCCAGTTAGGGGGAAAAATAGCACAAATTCAGGACAAGACTATTCGTGGATAAGATGAGTAAAGTTTTAATTGCAAGTATATAAGATAAGTATATTTTTTACTGAATACTTTTAACGGATTTGCAGAAAAATAAATGGAAAGATCATCTGTGTGTGAGAACGCCAGTGCTGCGCAAAAATTAATAACAGTATTTAAAGTAAGCTCAGCGTCTGTGGCAGTGTGTTTTGCATACGTAAAACAATCTTTGTCATCAAGTGTAATACATGTAATACTCCAAGTATCACTTTCAGCTCACTGCTATCCCACTAAAGCAAAATAACAGTTTCGCAAAATTCAAATTTATATTACAATTCAGATTATTACTCTGGCTTGGTGTGTCTTGTAGAACTAAATATGTGCTTTTCACTTCTAGTTCTTTACATGAAATGGTTTGTTTAAGCTTTCTCATATAATTTCTAGGTCACAGGCAAGCAGTCCTGGCAGTGTCTTGGTCCCCACGTCACGAATTTATCTTGGCGACAGGAAGGTAGGGATGCTGCTGGAATGTTAAATGCACTGAAATGTTCAACTGTAAAATTTTATGTATTCATTATGCATGTCTTTTTTTTGCAATTCAAATGGACTTTTAGAGTTAATCTTCATCATTGACTTTTACCTATTCACAGTTTCATAGCTCTTCCCTAGAAAAACGAAACCCAAAGAGCTGTACAAGTGATGATTATTTTATGGAAGGTTTGTACAGAATTTTGAAATACTTAGTGTATTTAGAGGCATTGAAAGATGATAGAGCGTTATAGGGATACTCACTTCGTACTGTTTATTAGTGTGTGCATTGCTTATCTGTTTTGTAACAAAGTAAAACATGTTTATTTCAAAGTATCATCCTGGTTAATCTTACAATCACAGAATCTTTGAGGTTGGAAGAGACCTGCAAGATCATTGACTCCAACCATTAGCTGCCACTCTGCTTTAATCCATAAACTCTAAACCATATCCTCCAGCATCAGATCCAGATGCCTCTTAAACACTTCCAGGGATGGTGACTCCACCACCTCTCAGGGCAATCTATTCCAGTACCTGACCACCTTAGCAGTGAAAATATTTTTCCTAACATCTAATCCAAATCTCCCCTGTCTCATCTTACAATCATTCTCTCTAGTCCTCATGCTCAGTTATGTCAAAGAGCATAACTCAGGTCACTTAGCTGAGGGGTAATAACTTTCCAAGCTGCAGTAATTCAGTGAGAATGGATTGTATTTTGATAATCTTGGGCCTTTTTTATTTTCCATCAAGTCATTTTTAATGTAAAAAAATCCTCCTGGCTTTCCTATAACTTTTGCATATGTTGGCATTTGTGGCATTTCTCTTCTCACTTTCTTAGTGGCCATGTTTCTTTCTTTTGAATTGCAGAGAAGAATAGCTGTTTTCTTAGTTTAGAGTGAAATTTTAATAAGTTGATACCAGAGTTGTAAACCTTTGGTTTCTGAAGCTAGGCTTCTGAAAGGCTCAGCATAGTTGGAAAATGTTCTAACAGTGTGTTGTGGGTTGGTTTTTTTAGTTTGTTTGTTTCGGCAGTGAAAAATTGATTGTTTTTTCCAGCATGGAAAAACCAGCAAATCTTATTAAATATTGACTTACTGATGTGTCCCAAAACATTTTGCTTTGTAGTCATAGAACTATAAACTGCATCTGCCTATGTTGTCACGTTGCTTTATGATGATTGCATACTAAATATGTTTCTTATGGCTCCACTACTTAATCAACTCTAGCTGAACTACTAGTTCCTAACAACATAACTCAGTTCTGTCATCTGCTAACATAAATGTGGGCAAAACCCAGAGACACTGAAATGGTGAGGAGAAACTGACTGGTGTTGCTAAAAATAGAATCTGGACTAATCTTGTGTGTCAGGAGATGTGACTGTTTTCCAAGACAACTGTATGTTTGCTTGTGGTCACTTCAGGGGAGGGGAGATAAATTTTGGGGGTTTATGGGACGTGCTTGTGAAATGTGAAATGTGTTAGTTCAGATTTCTCTGTGATGCTCAAGTCTTCCGTAGTTTTGACAGGAGATTGGAATGGTTGGAGAAGAGACGTGTTTTCTCTGTGTCTTCACACACTTCAGTTTTGGGCTTTAGAGAGGATTATAAGCTCTTTTTTCCTCTTTAGAACTGGCCTAAAAAAAGATGGGCCAATAGAAACTGTATCATCAGAAGTGGACAACTGTAGAATTTATAGTGAGGAAACTCTATGCCTTTATTAAGAAAATTTCGGTGAACTACATGCAGTTTGGTGCTCACTTTGTAGTCAGCTCAAACCTCAGTGCTTACTCTGCTCATGGTCCTAGAATGTTTGGAGTATCATAGTGTGTTGTCAGCACATTCTGTTGGAATGCCACTTGGAAGTTAACAGAATAAATCTGTAGTGAAGGGGAGCACAAAAGAACAAATCAGTCATTGGCTCTGTCAGGGATGGAACAGATAAGGAATAAACAGTTGGTTTTGCTTTGGTCAGTTGGTGTATGTTTAGTATATATAGTTCCAATATTTATGTACAGCTCTAACTTAGGAACACACAAGAAAAGCATATAGTACTTCAGTTAGAAGATTGCTTATCTTTAAGAAGTAGTTTGATTAGATATGTTTTCCAGCTGTAGACCAAAACAGTGCAGTTGTTTTTGTTCAGCCGACATGAAAAGTGATTTATGTTTTTGTTGTTTTGTTTTTTCTCCAAAAGTACAGTTAAGTTGCTGGGAACTATCCAAATAGTTTCAGTAAATACATCCACACTGGTGACTCAGTGCATGGGAAATGAGCTTTTCTATGAATTTACCTCCTATCTACACCTGGGAGTCTTGTGGTGCACGTCTGGAATGCTGAAATCCAGGTGCCATGGTTGTTTGCAGACACACAGTGTGAGCAGTGTGAACATGCAGCCTGGGAACCAGAATGAATCGCAGCAGCCTGACCCTTGGTTTTTCCCTCTTTGTGCCACCCTGGTAATGTGGACAGTTAGTTCCTCCAGGAGCAGCTCTCAGTGTTTCTGTGCCACAGCACTGCCTGACCACAGAGCACACAGACCCACCCAACCTACATGTCTGTAGACGACCTCTGTATCAGTCATGAAATCGCTTTGTGATAGCAAGAGCCCAAGTTACCAGACAACCATTGCTGACAGTGCTGGAGTCTGTAAGCTACAGGTTAATCAACAGAAGAATTAGCAAGTTTATTCCTGGTCTGTGTACGTTTGCAAGGGTGTTATGACACAGAGTCAAGTGTATTGTATATAGATGAAGATTCACTCTTAACTTAGGTGCTGACAGTATACCATGTGTGTTTGTTAATACATGTAAATGAATGTCTGAAGTCTGTCTTAAAAAAAATTTGTAGTGAAATTCCATTGGCTTGAGTTTTGCCCCCATGATGGGTGGTTCAGGGTAGTTGCTGGGTGAGTGCCAGGTGGGTTGGCTAAAGGAGGTCATTGAACCGGGGTGCATTCAATTTTCCTAATGTATGTGAATCTGTTTTTCTTAGTGCTGATGGTAAAGTAAAATTATGGGATGTGAGGAGAGCAACTGGATGTCTGAGTACACTTGATCAGCACAATGGGGAAAAGTCCAAAACCTCTTCTGAGACAGGTAATACAGAATATAAGTGGTGGTAATCCACATGTAGCTAGAATAACTCTTACATTTCACAGATCTGTTGAATACTAAGACCAGCAAGGAGAGTAGTGATAATCCAGTTGCTGCCTACTACATAACACATGCCATTTGGTTTTATCCAGTTACTTCTGTTACAGAGGCTGTGTTTGTGGTTGGTGGTCTTGTTTAGAGAGGTCTCCTTGACAACAGCAGTGTAGCTGTTCTAAATGTTTTTCCTCCTAAAACAGGAAATTTTGTTACCCGTTTTGTGGGTGGAAGAATTCATTCATCCTGTAGATTAGCTTTTATACAAACAGCAATCACTTGATACTTCATAAGATATTCCAGTGGTTAATTACCCTCTTTTAAAAACAAAGACAACACAAATAAACCCACAAAAGCCTATTCCTTTTCCTGTTTAAATTAGTCTTACTTCCAACACAAACCTCTAGAATATTTTTTCATATATTGTGTCATAAAATCAGTTCTATTCATTTTATACTGCTTAAAGTATACAAGAGCGTGTAGAATTATGATTGGTTTATTTTACAAGAGCTTTGAATTACACGCTTACTTCAGAACAGTCAGATGCATTAATGATACCTTATATTAGCTGTCATTAACTACAGCACCAACATTTTTATGTATTTTCAAGTCACATTTCTGAAACTAAAACCAAAACCAAACCAAAAAACACCTCAGTTAAAGAGAAGCTTCTGAACTTTATAGTTCACGAATTGTGGTCAGTTCTGAACAGAATATATTTCATTTTGGCAGTCCAAGAAAGTATTTAAACAAGTCCTGCTCCGAGATAGACATATGTAGTGTTTGGAATTGAATCACAGAGTGGCTCTGAACAGAGGGATTTATGTAGTGTATATCAATGATTAAGCTACCAGTCAGTCTGACTTGTTACATGCAACTTAAATTGCATGTATAAAAATACATGAAGATGTCTGTAAAGTGAAACTGATTTTCCAAAGTGTATGGTTAGAGGATATGAAGCAGCAGTAAGTATCTGTTTTAATAACTCTGCTCTGTACTGTGTACATTTGAGTGTGTTTATAGAGATTTTGGTTATGACAGTTTTAAATTTGATTGCAGTTCAAGAAATTATTCAGATGAAAATGGTCTAAAGAAAGCTAAGACTTAGTAAGAAAAGGACAGTTTTTGGTTTATGAAAAATGAAGTTCTATGTAACTCCAAAGGTAATTATTACCATTTTTACATCCGTTTGAATAATGTATTGACTCATTCAAACACAACATCTCTCTTTTCATCTTTATTCCTGTCTGATGAGTTCAGGATGATTTTTTTGGTAATCTAATGGCAATCACATGGACTAGGATATTTCACTTCTTGAAATATATATGAACTAAACCAAATGCAGCTAATAAATTTTTTAATAAAGTCATTAAAAAGCAGGTAACACCTTTACGTAAGAGATATGTCTAAATGAGGTACTGCAGAGATACTTTATCTGTTTTTCAGTGAGTTAGGTCATGGGCACCGTACTTAGATTTGCTGTGGTAGCACAGAGTTGGATTGTAGCTACTATAGCTTACTTAATGTACAACATTACAGGGCAAAATCAATGGAATTCATTTACAGTACATATATATAGTACAATAGAGAATAGAATATTCACTTGCAAGTGTCCTAAAATGACCATCTAGTCCAACTGCCTGACGACTGCAGGGCTGACCAAAAGCTACAGCACATTAAGGGCACTGTCCAAATGACTCTTAAACACTGACAGGGTTGAGGCATCGACCGCTTGAGGATATATTGAACACGACTGGTTCTTGAACTGCACCCTAAGAAACACTGTTGGTGGCTGGTTGCCAGCCAGAAGTTCTTATAAACCAGAAGTTAAATTATTAATTTCCTGAATGTTACCGTTTAAGCAGCACTTTCAGTGCTCTACATTGAATTAAAAATGTATACAAAATAGTGATTCTTCTTCGGAAATCTGAACCAACTCTTTTTCCTGACAGTAAACACTGCTCACAATGGGAGAGTGAATGGTTTGTGCTACACAAGTGATGGACTTCATCTGTTAACCATTGGTACAGATGATCGGATGCGACTCTGGAACAGCTCCACTGGAGAAAATACATTAGTAAGTTTTCAGGGATCTTCAGTTATGTTTTTACTTGCACTTAATTTTAGTAGATTTATAATTTGTGCAATTGCCATTACAACTTTGAACATTTATTCATTTTCATAGAGGCTATTGCTGCTTAATCTCATCATTAGAAGATTTGTTCAACATTTTTTTCCCAGATTTCTTCTATTTATAAAAAAATGTATGAAGAAACTTGGTTGAATATGGTAACTCTAAGCCCATTAATTTGGAAGCATAGCTGTAATGCTTCAGACAGTAATGAACACCTCAATATGCAGTGAATGTTCTAGAAAGTTTTGGGGTTTGTTTAACTATATTACTTGTCAGTGTCCTATCCACAAGGCAGTTTGCTATACCTGAGAGTTTCACTGATTAACTGCCTGGCTTTCTTGCAGTTTTCTTTCTGGTTCTGTGAAATCTCCTGTGGAGTTGTATGGCAGTGTTAGAAACACCTATCCATCCACCCCTCCAGATTTGCATTGCAGCTGTGGGGTGGGAAGGTTGTTAAATCTCTACTGCTGCTCCAGTGCTTTCTATGGCTTGTTTTTGGGTTTGTTTTTGCTGAAGGTTCCTGTTGTGATATTCTGTTTAGTAAGGAAAATTGTTTACTGTGTTTATTTTGAAAGAAGAACATCCTAGTTAAGTCAGTTTCCATGGAATTTTAGACAATCATGATTATACTCTGTCATTGCTGTCATGAAAGGAAGAAATTTTACTTGGACTTAGCAATCTTTTACTTCTGCTACTTAGTTTCAGCACACAGCAAAAAGGATTTCTTATAGATATTTAAATGAAAGGACTTTTCTATCTCCATGCTACTCATATTTGACAGCTTGTTCTTAGCACCTCATATACAGACATCTTTCTGTCTCGAAATCACCATCACCAAAGTAGATAATACTGTTTGTTCACTCTCCTGTCACCAGCTGGATCACTGTTTTTTGTTTTTCTGTGACTTAGTTCATTGACTTTTTTCATAGCCTATTTCACAGTTTTCTAATTTGGTGTGGAAGAGCTTGCTCCTGCTTGCTTTGTCAATTCCAGAGTATTGTATTTTCACATGCTGTCCAGAAGCATTGCTTGAAATAATTTTAAGGCACCAGCAGACAAATAAATGCATGGACAAGTAATACAACTTCCCAACATAGTCCCTTTATTTCCCTCACTAGCCAGTCCTTTTGATTTCCAGAATCTTTTTCTGTATCTTTCAAAAGGTATAGAAATTAAGTTACGCATATGATTTTTTGTTTTTATTTGAACAATAAGCCGAATTTGGGGCCTAGTGGGTTGTTTCAGTTAGTAAGAGAAATGAATGTTGAAGCTGTATACATGTTGCATACATCTTTTGTCAGAAAGAAGCAGGTTATCTATTTGTGTGTTCAAAGGACAAAGCCAGTTTTTAAGATTTTTCTTCAGTTCTCATTTTGGCATCATCCTTTCCTTTCCACTGTTTCTCTATCAAGCAGGAATATTTACACTGAACATATCCATTTTATTTACTTTTCCCAGCCTCCACTCTTCCCTTTCACTGTACATGCCTTTGTTATGAGCAGTGTTATGGCTTGGGAATTGTTGGTCTTCCAGCTGTTGTGCTGTGTAAAGGAGTTTAATTGCTCTTTATAAGCAGAGTAGTATATGCCTCTTAAAGTACTAGCATTAGCAAGACTTAACACAGTCAGTATTTACAGACACTGTCTTTACAAATTGGGCAGTATTATCCACAAAGGACATGACATAAGCTTCATATCTCATGAAAATATCCTGTCATTATGTAAAATTATCAACCTCAAATAACCTCATTGAAGTGCCTGTATACCAATGCACATAGCATGGGAAACAAACAAGATTTGGAGATCTGTGTGCAGTCACAGGGCTTTGAGCTCACTGCAGTTATAGAGACATGGTGGGACAGCTATCATCAGTGGAATCTTGTCATGAATGGCTGCACACTACTGGCTGAATGACAGGGTTGTGATCAGTGGCACAGGGCCTGTTTGAAGGCCTGTCACTAGTGGTGTCCCCCGTGGTTCAATACTGGGCCCAGTATTGCTTAATTTATTCATCAGTGACTTGGGTGAGGGGACCGAGTGCCTGCACAGCAAGTTAACTAATGATACAAAACTGGGAGAAGTTGCCAATACCTCAGAGGGCTGTGCTGCCCTTCAGAGGGACCTCGATAGGTTGGAGAAATGGGCAGAGAAGAACTGTCTGAAATTGAACAAGGGTAAGTGCAGGTCCTGCACCTAGGAAGAATAACTGTGAGCACCAGTACAGGCTAGGGCTGACCTGCTGCAAAGCAGCTCTGTGGAGAAGAACCTGGAGGTCCTGGTGGACAACAAATCACACATGAGCCAGAAGTGTGTCCTTGTGGCCAAGAAGGCCAATGGTATCCTAGGTGCATCAGGAAGAGTATTGCCAGCAGAGTGAGGGAAGTGACCTGTCCCTCTCCTCAACCCTGGTGAGGCCTCAGCTGGAGTTCTGTGTCCAGTTCTGGGCTCCTCAGTACAAGAGGGATGTGGAGCTCCTGGAGCAGGTCCAGCAGAGGGCAACAAAGATGACTAAGGGACTGGAGCATCTCTCTTACGAGAAAAGGTTGTTCAGCCTCAAGAAGAGACACCTGAGAAGGGACCTCATTAAAGTATGTAGGTATCAAAAGGGAGGATGCCAAGAGGATGGAGCTCTTCTTGGTGCTGCCAAGCAAGAGGACAAGAGGCAGTGGGCAGAAACTGATGCACAGGAAGTTCCACCTGAACATAAGGAGGAATTTCTTTACTGTGCAGGTGACCACACATCAGAGCAGATTGCCTGGAGAGGCTGTGGAGTTCCTTTCCTTGGAGATACTCAAAAGCCATCTGGACACATTCCAGAGTAACATGCTCTGGGGAATCCTGCTTGAGCAGGGAGGTTGGACCAGATGAACTTCAGTGGTCCTTTCCAACCTTACCCATTCTATCATTCCGTGAACCTACTTGTATTCTAATTAAACTCTCTTTGTATATATTTATAAGATGATTCAGAGATTTTCTTTATGGTGACTGGTACTTGTATTTTTGCCTCAAACTTAGGACCATTGACATAGTATCAGTCAAGAACCTGACAAAAATGTTGTATTAGAATATTTACCTGCTAAACTTTACAAATATATTAGCTTATAGCTGCAAGATTTCACAGTTGAGATTTTCTTTTCTTAACTATAGGCCTTGAGGTTTAGGTAGGGAGGTTAAAGTATAACTTAGAGACCTTTGCTAAGATTGTACACATAAGTGAATATCTTGTTTTTCAGCAAAAAATAAGAGCATAGGTTTTAGGACAGTAATGTTTTAAACAAAATATTCTTTTATATACCATTAGATAGTATTAATGACCTTAAATTTATTGTACCAATACTAGAAAAATACTTCTTTTCATGGAATCGAAAAGGTTGGAAAAAACCTCTGAGATCATCAAGTCCAACCTGTGACCTAACACCACTATGTCAACTAGATGATGGCACTGAGTGCCACAGTCAGTGTCTCCTTAAATATAAATCTTAAGATTATGTGTGCACTTCAGGTGTTCATTATGGACTTCTTCCTCTTCATGAAAAGAAAGTCAAAATTGTAATGGTTTGTTTTAATTAAGTTTGTTTAGAGGAAAGCTGTGTTCGTGAATATATTTCTCTATCACCTCATAAATACATTTTTGAGACCTGACAGGGCCTAGTTAGACTGATACCCAACTGGAATGTTTCAAGCATGTTTGGACACATTTCACTTTCACTTTTGTGATATTTTTGCCTGTATAGGACCTGTCAGGATCTTGAAACATTAGTACAGATGCTAATAAGCTCTTGGTATACTACTTTTATTTGAAAGGTTTCACTCACACCTCACAAATAAGGTCTTAGAAATGTAACGTTTTTTGTATCTCAGCTGCCCTTATAGGGAACAGTATTGAATTTCTCAGTGGTGATTTAGCTTTGGTTAGAAGATAGGCTTTTTTATCACTTTTAACTAGTTCATAGTAATTTACAAAGTTCCTCTTTATTTGCTTCTTCTTCATGAATCTCTTCTAATCCCTTCACATCACCTTTTACTTAGGCCATCCTTCTGCTTGCCCTTCAGTTGCTTTCATAGTGCCTATTAATCTACTGCTATTTCTTGAACCAGCAAAGTGCACTTGCAGCCCAAGAAGTCAACAGTGTCTTGGGCTCCATCAGAAGCAACGTGGCCAGCAGGGTGAGGGAGGTGATTCTGCCTGTCTGCTCTGCTCTGGTGAGATCCCAGCTGGAGTGCTGCATCCAGTTCTGGGGTTCTCAGCACAGGAAGGACATGGACCTGTTGGAGCAGGTCCAGAGGAGATCACAAAAATGGTCAGCTGGATGAAGCAATTCTCCTGTTAGGAAAGGCCAAGAGAGTTGGGGTTGTTCAGGCTGGAGAAGTGAAGGCTTACTTATGTATTGTGGCCTTACAGTATGTAAGGGAGATTTTGAGATGGATGTATACAGACTGTTTAGTAGGGCCTGTTGCAGCAAGGATAAGGAGTAATGGTTTTAAAATAAAGATAATAGATTTAGACTAGATATAATGAAGATTTTTTTAGTTTACAATGAGGGTGGTGAAACACTAGAAAGAGTTGCCCAAAGAGGTGGTAGATGGAGTTCTGAGCAACCTGATCTAAGTGGAGATGTCCCTGCTCATTGCTGAGGGGTTGGACTAGATGAATTTGAAAGATCCCTTCCAATCCAAACTCTTCTATTATTCTGTGATTTATAACTGTATATTGTTGTGCATAAGAGTTTTGATAGTTTTGGTGTCTGAGAGAAAATTATGCTGGAACATCTAGGGAAATGTTTTAGGTGATAATTCCTGAACATGTCTAATTTCATTGAGAACTTAGGTGGTTGACATAGATCTAGCATACAACAGCCTCTGCAAGTTCTATTTCTAAGTGTGGAACTGCTGATTTTTAGGCATATCTTTGTTTCCCTTTCTTAAAGCTGATATTTGCAAAAGTGACCTTTAATGAATATGAAAATGATTGTCTCGATAGACACCTGGTAATTTGAAATATCAGGAGGTATATTGACATAACTCAGAATTAATTTTATTAAGTTCTAAGTATGAAATAAAATTGACCTTCCCATGTCATTTCCTAAGTTTTAATTAATAGCTAACTGTGTAATCCTTCATTTTACAGGTGAATTATGGGAAAGTCTACAATGAAAGTAGAAAAGGACTCAAATTCACCGTTTCCTGTGGCTGTAATCCAGAGTTTGCCTTTATACCATGTGGAAGTAGCATTGCTGTTTATACTGTTTTCACAGGAGAGCTGATAACTACGCTTAGAGGGCATTATAGTGCTGCCAACTGCTGTGTATTTCAACCTCATTTTCAGGTAAGTGAAAATAGAAACAGTATTCCAGACAAACTGGAATATTTATGCAGGTTGCCATACCATTTGCACTAGAATCATTAACTCCTCAGGGATATGCTTTAGTCAAAGATCTTGACAGAAGAGGGAGATCTGTGGCTCACATGTCATGCAAGAAAAGTGGTTGATATTGGTTGCTGCCAGTTCCTCATGCTCTTTGTTTCTTTAACTGTATTTTAATTGCTGTCTTTGTTTCACCTCATGACCAGCATAGGCTCTAAAAAGAACTTTTAACTTTGCACCAATTATGTATTTGAGGTGAGAAGTATCTTCCATTTGCCCAGAACCATATAATCAAGTATCGTCACTGATATCCAAGCAGCTAGCTATTTGCAGTCCAATGATACTAGTCTTTAGCTGCTCTTATCCGAACTAATGAGCAGGTTTGTGTGGAATACCTATTGTGTTTGAGATACTGTATGGAGCTGTCTCCACAGAGTGGTGTGGGCTTTACTTAATGTGTGTATATATGCATTTCCTGATCCTGGGAACTGAGCCATAAAATGCACTATATTATTGTTTGCCTGAACTGTTCTTACCTAAATATCTCTATAAAGTTAATGAGATGTTACTGTGCTTGAGTAATAAGAACTGCAGAATTTGGCCCTTTAATAAGAGGCATTAATTTAATAGGATGTCAGTAATTTCAAGGGTGGTGTGGAAGAGAAAATCTTCATTGTGCAATCTCTTGGATGATGTTTACTGTTGGATCTAATACACTAGATACCATTGTCCCATATTATCTGCTTAGAATAATTTAAGTAAACAAACAAGACCTATGTTTCCCTTTCAGAAAAAGAAATCGAGTAAAGCATTGTGCATGAATAACATGTCATAAAGTATTATGTGTGCAACAGGAAGCAATTTTGCTTTTAATTATAGCTCCTCATACTGTTCAAAAAATGCTAGTGACATCTGCAAAGGTATTTGGCAAATCCAGTAGTAGGCTATCAAGTAAAGTTAACTGAAAGTTATATTAGGCTCTGTTTGCAATCTTTCCATGTATTGTACCATAAATGTGCATGGAGCATGTTTGTAGTCCAATATATGTATCTGTCCTGTATTGTACCATAATCATACATGGAGGTCACCAGCTCTTCTTTTGTTCGACTTAAGGTGTGAGTCACCATTTCAGGTCGTAATAATTAATTACAAGTATTGCTCAATGCAGTGAATATTAACTGAAGATCTTGCCATGCCAAGATCAGAAAGTGAGGGAAGTAGCAAGAAGAATCCGATGGAAGTATGCTGATGTCACTGTGGCATTGCTCACAAGGAGGTATTTTGGCATGGAAAGATCTTTTAAAGTTGTAGTGATATTCTGTGTTCTGTCAAAGACAGAAGACCCAAGTAGAGTACTGCTGACAGAATTTGACCTATACCTTTGTGTAGTGTCTTCTTTTAAGCAAGATAAGTAGGATGTTTCTCTCTCTTAAAATTGTAAAGTAATCTTGAATGTGTTTTATGCATGAACAACTTCATGCATAGGACCAGCTGTAGAAAAGTGAGTACGTCTGCTGTCTTGAATAAGATTGCCCACATAAATGCCATTAAGTTTCTGCACCAAATGTCAGGATAATTTGTGCTGTTCTAGAATTAAGTGTAGGTAATATAGGAGACTTTCTGCAAAGGCAGAGCTGTGGTAATATATTGAACTTAGATTAAATCATCGTATTAATAATGTGCACACAGGCAGAGAGTTGCTAGTTTAAGTGTAAAATCCAACATGCTTAAAGCAAGGCTTTCATACATACCAAAACAATACTTCATATGTTTCACTCAGACAGTTTAAACACGCAGCAATACTCAAGTGTTGTCAGACATCTCATTTAAAAGGCAGGAGTATGTTTCAAGCAGAATATCTTCATTCCTGTTCATTTGAGTAGCACTTTGGAACATGGAAGTGTTACTAGTGGAAAGTTTACTGCAGAGGTGGTGCACTATTTTCTCATTAGCAAATATTTCCTCAGTTAAAAGTGACACAGAAGTCTGTATTTCCTTTAACACAGAACTAAGAAAACTAAGATGTATTTGACTTTCAGCTGTTTGGTGTGAGGACTGTTTGCTTCCACGTGTTTGCAGGGTGCCTTGCACAATGGGATCTCAGCCCTTAGTCATTACCATAATAAATAGAGTTATTTATATTAAAAATAATAAATTGGTCTTTCTGATCTCTGCTTTCCCAACAGGATACAGGCTTCAAATTGTACTTTATTTGTTCTTTTCCTTCCCTAGGCATACTGAAACTACGGTTACTTAATACTTCTTTGTTCCATACCTATGCACTTTTCTAACATGTATTACTAGATTCTTTTGAGTTTATTCCTAGTTTTTAATTATAATGTTTCCCTTTTTTCTCTCTCTTTTTTTTCCCTTCTCCATAAATAATTTACTAAGATTCCTAAACTGTAAAAATAGCTGTCTTTTCAGGAGACATGAGAGAGGGAAGAAAAAAAATGCGTTTAAGCAATAAAGTTTGTTTAAATGTGGGTTGTGCTGTTTGGGTGAGCAATCTGGGAAAAAATATAAAAGCTTATTCATTTTGTTTTGGCATATTGTTTAAAATACTGTTTATCAAGATTTTACTATAAATTAGAAATTGACTACTTGCCTCTATTTTGAAATAAATATTCCATACATTTTTTTCTCCCCAATATTGTATTTATGTCACTGTTCAGCAAATTTGTGTGAAAGTAATTTTTGCTTGTTTTCTTAAAGGAACTTTATAGCGGTGGCAAAGATTGCAATATTCTTGCATGGGTACCAGCTCTACGAGAGCCAATTCCTGACGAAAAGTATGAAAAGGTAAGGAATTTTAAGGGTTTAAATTGTACTTTTCATGGCTGTTATACCTGGGGAGGTTCTGTGGAAATTGAAATATGAACTATGTAATTCACCATCAAAATTTCTAACAATTGCTAATTAAGAGAAGAACCACCTGTTGTTTCTGTGCAATCTTTGTGATTGTTGTTGGCTTTTGAGAGGATCTTTTCTTTCACAGTCCAGTAAAATCTTTTGCAGAATTTTAGCTTCCTACTTAGCTAAAAGCAGTTCATGTTGTTTGGCTATGGGTCTTTCAACTCCTGCTTTAGCTTCCTTAATTTCCAAACTGTTTTCTATAATTTGTGCTTTTTTGGAATTGTAAAGGTGCCAAAGAATGTGTTTTGTATTGTGTAAGAATATACTGTATATTGAGCAGTAAGATTAGAAACACCCAAATATTTTTTGTGCAGAAAGAAGATTCCAAATGAGCTTATGTTATAATTATTGTCTTTTACACATATTGTCTGAGGCAAAGCATTCAGGGCTGTTGCAGGGCAGATCACATTTCACACTGTTTTCCAAGACTGTACTTTTTCTCTCTCAGTGTTAGAGCTGGGCAATAAATAAAACAGCCTGAGATTTAAGGAACCAAAACAATTGAAAGAGTCAGAGTCTGCAGACTTTACTGATGTTGAAAAATGGGTCTATATTAATGTTTTGGCCCATAGCATGCAAAAGTTCCACTTTCCAAAATTTCTGCATTGTTCCATTTGGATGGGAAAATAAGAGAAGCATAAAATTTTTGTAACATTTGTTTTGTTTTGTAAGACAACTTACTTCAAAGCTATCCTACACTTTAGCAAAGAATAAAAAAGCAGCTTCAAATGTTAGATATTCTGAACCCAAAACGCGTTCACCTGGCCCGAGAATTTTGATGTGAGTAAACTGTAATTTTCTTAGTCTGAGAAACAGAACCAAACCTGTAGCAACAGGATTATTTGCCCAGCCCTGATCAGAACTCCTCCTTTAAATTGGACATGGTGACAGTATGTAGTATGTGCCATTGTTTTGAAATCTGTTAAGCTACAGCTGCTGTTTGCAAATGTTGTAGATGAGCACTGCCACTGTAAGAAGCAGTTCTGCTGTCCACAGGCCACTAATTCCTGCTCCCTTTCAGGTGCTAGAAAAGATATTTGAGTGCTTGCATGACTTGAATCTGGATCCAGGGTAGAAGTAAGCAAGGAAAAATTTTACTCCAAGTCACGGTGATTCCAACCTTTTGGTTGGACCCTAGTGGGACGGAGGTGAGGAGTAGTTTTTGGATGTGCACAGAGGCCAGGACTGCTTCCCAAGACAGCAGTGCTCAGTTGTGCTGGGCCAAGGGAATTAGGACCTCGATTACAACAATGGCACACCACAAACACAGTAACAGTCACCTGTAATATTTTATACCAAACATTTGTAATGCTTCCAGTCAGTCCTCCATGTTTTTTTTTATGAAATTGCAGTTAAATAGAGTATTATTTGTTTTCATAATTTATCATTTTTCCAATCGGCAGAATAGCCAAAGCAGTGGTTAGCAAGAAAAATCCAGTGCTCATGAAAGACAGAATAGTTTGTCTACATGTAGGAATTTTAAAAATGCCTTTAGCATTGCCTTTATTTGATTTTAGTATTTTCAATTAAGCAAAACACTGAGAATTTTTATTTTCTTTAGCGTCTGCCTCAAGAACACTTCAATCCACAATATGAAGACGCTTGGAGCAGCAGTGACGAGGAAGACTTTTAAAACATTACGTGCTGATATAAAATTGACATTCAGGCACTGCATTCACAGACTTTTGTTCAGAGTTGGATACTGTTGGATTTATCACAACTGGAGTTCTACTGCAGTTCTGTAAGAGCAAGGTGTTTTAGAAATAAGTTTTCCACTGTTCTCTGTGGGTTTATTCGTTGTACAGTTAAATCTAAAGGATTACTTTTTACTGAGTTTTATACTTGCCCTTACATATTGGTATACTTATATTCAGTGTTGAATTGCTGAAAAAGAAAAAATAAAAACCCTTGGGACCAGTCAATATTATATTGTTTGTGTTATCACTGATACATGAGGAGATGACCCCTTCATTTCCAAGATACACAATACACAGGATTTTGCCTGAAGGAGGAGTAGCTCAGGGATACTTCCAGCTTATTTTAATCAATGTCTTGGTGGAGGAGACTGCATCCATTTTCAAGTGCTGATGTGCTCCCATATGACTGTGGGAGTCAACAGGGTTTTGTGCTTTTTGTTTTGCATTTTCAGTTTTGCATGCTTTTTGCATAGATGCAGTATGCAGTTCAGAAAGAGATACAGCTGGGATTCTCTATTCAGGTATTTATATGGTGACCGCATCAACTAGTATCTTAATGTACTCCAGCAAGTTAAGAATAGAGTTTTTGTTTTTCTCGTTAGCAGGTTTTTAATATCAGTCTTCTTTGTATGAGTTTCTTGCACATCCCTAGCCAACGTGAAGAATTCCTGAACAGAAACAGCCTTGGGGTACAGTACAAGGCAAGAGAGTGGATCACATTTCACATTAGAAATATTAAGTGCACTCCTACAAAACTTTTCATCTGAATTTGTGGTCCTAATGCCTCCTGTGTTTTGAAAGGGAGGCATATTGTGAGGTCATTGCCTCATCTCAGTCACTAGTTTGTGCTTCAGACATAACATAGTCACCAAGCTGAGAGGTTAAAAACACAAATTCAGGCAAAGAGAAAAAACATTGTACACATAAATGAAAGGAAGTAATTTAATCTTTGTGTCGTGTACTGTTTGTGTGATTGCTGTGCTCTTTACCCACTGTGCTTCTGTATTTTAACTTCTATACCACATATAGGCTGTCAGTTTCTGTATGTCTAGCGTTGTAAAATGATACAAAGTGAGGAGTGGGAATATCAAGGGAAAGTTATAATTAAGCAGCCTTTATAACTAGCACATATTTGCAGGGAGAGACCCACTGTGAAGTGTATAGCTGCAGGGGGAAGAAGCTTCATCTGAGATTAAGGACCCACCTGATATGGTGCCTTTACAGGAATAGAGAAGATAATTTTCCTTTTTGTTTTTAGATTGTTAGTTTTCATTACCAATGGTTGCTGTTTCCCTCAAAAATTCATTACCAATGGTGGCTGTTTCCCTCAAAAATTGGAAAGACTGGGCAACAAATTTGTCCCCATCTTTCTTACAAGCCTCTTTTAATTAAGGGAAGGTACTATAAGGTCGCCCCGAAACCTTCTCTTCTCCAGGCTGAACACATCCAACACTCCTGGCCTTTCCTCATAAGAGAGGTGTTCCAGCCCTCCAGTTGTTTTTGTGGCCATCCTCTAGACCCACCCCAACAAACCCCTCTGTTTCCTGTGCTGAGGACTCCAGAGCTGGATGCAGTTCTCCAGGTGGGTTCCTTTCTGCCTGTTGAGTTTTATCAGGAGCTCCTTTTTCATGCGTGCAGACATCAGTCCACCTTTGCTTAATTTCCTGCACATGGGCATGGACTACCCTTGAAAATCAGCCAGCTCTCCTGGACACTTCTCATGAGGGCCATATCCCATGGAATTCTTCCAGGCTGGACCCTGAATAGGGATCTAGCTGGAAATGTGGAAGCTTTTCTCTAAAATTTCATGGGGCTCATTTTCACATTTGCTGAATAACTTTATAGAGGTCAGTTTTGCGTAAGTTACACCATGAACACAATGTGGGATTCGGTTCAAGAAGAGATGGGCTGAGAATTATTTGCCAAAGATACCTTTTGGTTTAGTGTCCCAAACAGTTGAAAATAGAAATTAGTTGCCGTAGGGGCTTGTTGCTCCTACTAGCAGTTAGTATCTTCTACATAGGAATCATTCCAAATCCTCTTCTAGTATCAGTTGTTGATGGCATTATTCTCCCTTCTCATTGTTCTTTGCTGGCAGGAGAAGCATTTCTGGTGAGGGAAGTTAAAATGTCTGCTTCTGATCTGGGCAAGAATCCAGGCTCATTCTGCAACCCAGCACCTGCAAGCCTTCCATATAATGGCAGTATCTGATAGGTGGTGTTTAGTTTGCAAGGTTTGAAACCTCTTCGTGCTAGCATGTCTGACAGCAATTTCTGTGAAAGTTCTACTCTGAAGAATGGTATTTATGTTATGATTTCCTTCAATATGTCTAGTTTTATGTAGATTTGGTGAATTTGTTATTTAAGCTTTTTCTAGAAGAAAAAGTATTTTATATCTGCTGCATTCTTTTGGTGGCTGTACTTGTTGGTATCTTCAAAATGAAAACTTTTAAAGGGCAGTGAAGGTATACTGTGTATTGTTTTTCACTGACAAGAACTAACAGTGTCAATTCCAACTGTGCAATCTCTTGCTTGTGTGTAAATTCTATAAAGTGTTCCCCTTTGTTTACGCTTATGCTCCTTCTGTGCTTACAGCATGTACTTTGATAGTATCAGAGCTCCTTCAGAACCAGAAATGAAGCAAGTAGAGGGGTGTAAACTTAATCTCACCATCCTCATGTCAGTCAGAAAAACAAAACATCTGAAAATTCAGTCAGATGTCAAAATGGGTGCTGTGTTCATACTGAAATCACGTTATCCACTTGAGAGTCAGTTATCTCATAGCTGGATTCTTACTGTTAAAAACAGTAAGAAAGCTAAGAGTTTAAGGAGAGAGCTTAGGCTGGAATGAACTGTATTCTTATTGCAGTAGTGGTACTGGGATTTAGTAGTCTATCAGCAAACGTAGAGGATCTAATCTTTTAGGTTCTAGAGAATTTAATCTTTTCAGGCCATTCCGGGAATTGAATATTGCTTAGAAGATTTTCTTTGTTTGCCGAAGCAGAGATTTTTATTTGAGCTTGATCCAGCAAGTACCAAAAGATGGAAAATAATTTATTTGTTCTTAAAAGAGATCAAAGAGTTTCCTTTCCCTTCTAGCCTAAGGAAATGATGAAGGTGGAGTCAGACTGAGCCAGTCCAACTGTGGAAATCCAGACAGCCTAAGACAATCCCTCTTCAGCTTGAGTGAGAGTTCTGTGAAGACAGTTAAGATAGGACTCTGATTATTAATATCTAGGTTATGATGCTGAGAAAGAATCTGATATTTGGACAGCCAAGAAAAGCCTTGTTCTTTTTTTCCCTCCTGTGCACAGACCTGGAAGCATTAAGAATGTAAGCATTGCTAACTGCCAGGTATGAGGAAGAACAAGTTAATACCATATGCTTACTTCCGTTTTTTCTGTCCCTTGTATACTAGCTCACACACACAGGCTGACACATCTAAAATTTAGGGATTTGTTTGCTACCTGTTTTTGCATTGTTTGTGTTTGTAGTCAGGCCAGGTTTCTCACTGCACAAGACATCTGGGTTTTTTTTATTCAAAAATTATTTCCTCATATGCTAAGTTAGCTTAGGGCCCATAATTTAAGACCCCCATCATTGTACAGCTGAAAAATTCTTAGATTTGTGAACATCAGTAGAATTAGTTATGTTTCTTCCCCTTTTGCTTATACTTGTATTATAGTCCTTACCCTAGCTTGAATCATAGAATCATCAAATTTAGGGGTGGGAATGGACCTTAGAGATGATCTAGGCCCAACCCCTTGTCCTGGGCAGGGACACGTTCTCACTAGATCAGGTTGCTCAAGGCTTCCTCCAACCTGGCCTTGGACACTGCCAGGGTCGGGGCAGCCACCACGTCCCTGGGTAACCTGTGCCAGTGTCTCATCACCCTAGAGTAAAATACTTTTTCCTCACATCCATCCTAGACTTTCCCTCCTTCAGTTTGAACCCATTTCCCCTTGTCCTGTCATTGCAGTTCCTAACACAGAGTCACTCTCTGGCTCCCTTGTAGGCCCTTCAGATATTGAAAAGTTGCTCTGAGGTCTCCACGCAGTCTTCTCTTCTCCAGGCTGAACAGCCCCAACTTCCTCAGCCTGTCCTCACAGGAGAGATGCTCCAGACTTCTTATCAACTTCATGGCCTCCTCTGGACTTGCTCCAACAGTTCCATGTCCTTCTTACATTGAGGACACCAGAACTGCACGCAGCATTTCAGGTAGGGTCTCACAAGAGCAGAGTAGAGGGGGAGAATCAGCTATTTTGACCTGCTGCCCACACTCCTCTTGATGCAGCCCAGGATTCCATTGGCTTTCTGGGCTGCTAGTACACACTGGAATAGAGATAGATAGATAGATAGATAGATAGATAGATACACACACACATATATATCTATGCATAGAGGACATAAAAATATTTAAAATACCACTGCTTTGGCACCATTGAAGGATAGTTCTTGGTTTTCCTCCTACCTCATTTTTAAATGCAAGTAAAAGTCTGGTAGATGTTGTTGAGAACTGTAAGCTCTTCAGTGCACTGTCCTAGGATCTGCCACAGTGAACAGGTAAGCCTAGTGCTAGCTTAGTATGTGTGAAGTGTGCAATACATAATCAAGTTATAGGCATTTCAGTGAAACCACAAGAACTGTCCAGATACTTATTTTTGGCATGTAAATCATAGGCATTAGCATGGTGAAAGTAGACCATAAAGAAAGAGAGCTTGAGTATTGGCCATGTGCTAGGCCGCCAAGATGTGTGCTGAGGTTTTGATATCCAAGAGATGTTCTTGAAGGCAGTATATTAGTTTCAGTGGCCAGCAGTTAGTGTTTATAATACCCAAGTAAACAAAAGTATGTAGAACATATCAATAAAGTCCTTTTGTGTGGTTAAGGCTGAGCTATGAAATGGACATGCCTTCTTCTATCCTCCCCCTGTTTAAGTTTTCTTTTAGTCTATTTTATAAAAACAGTGGGAATAGAGGATTAAAAAGGGATGACTTGAGTGGCCAGGAATTCAGGCAGGTACATAACTACTCCCCACAGCTTCATCCCTTCT